GCCCCCAATGGGAAAACCAGGGCCCGTCCCAGGAAAGAAGGTTTCGGGCAAAATTTAAAAAGTTGGGTTTAAAGGAATCCAAAAACCTTCGCAGGTAGGGAGGAAAGGAAACCCAATCGGGAGGGGAAACTGAAAGGGACCGGCCCAGGGGGGAACATTTTCCCCCCCAGGTTTTTGTTTGGGAAGCTGTTGGGGAGGAATTTTTTCCCGTTTTTTCCAACTTTTTTTTTTTTTGTTTTGGGTTGGGGGCCAATTTTCTTAAACATGGGGTTTTTTTTGGGGAGGTTTGGATTTTGGACCCCCCCCCCTGGACAGTTGGGGGGTAGAGGACCCCCCCGTTTAGGGGCCCCCTTGAATTTTTTTCGGGGAGGGGGGGGTGGGTCCCCCCCCCCCCCCCCCGGTGTTTGCCATCGGGGTTGGGTTTTCGTCGCTTGGCAACGACGTTGTAAAACAAACCAATTCACTTCGTGAACTCGGCAACGAGGTTACCGTTTTTTTTTTTTTACGGTAACCATAATGGTGGTCGAGTAGATCAAGTTGTGCGGGGTCGAGAACCCTCACTCCGCGCAAGGGGGATGATCGCACCACGTTGTGTTAAAATGGTCAAGCATCCTTGAGGCAGTTACACAGTGCTTACAACTGTCTCTGGAAGTGAAAGCACCAGAAAATAAATTAAGCCATGTACGCAGCTGTCATCCGTACGCAAGGAAGTAAGCACAAGATGCCGAACACCCTTAGCAGGATGCAGCTCACCTTCATGCGACTCGCCAAATACCTCAAGGCGCTTCGCGCTTGGTGATGTGAGAGCCTGGTCCGGTGAGAACCCGGCGTGCTCCGTCCCGGCTTTGTAGGGATGCGAGGTCAATGGGCTAACGACTACGGCATGCACCACTATGAGTACACCCCGCCCCCCCTGGGTAGCGGGTGGGGGCAGACACAACAACGTCTGACTAGCTCGCGAGCTCGGTCACATACACCACAATTGTACAATAGACCCCCTCACGTCCATGCATCGCTCTCCCTCGCTTCTCCTCTGGTGTCTACGCCCGGCGTTGCGTGTTGGCTACCGCAGCTCGAGCAGAACGAGAGACGGATAGTGAGCGGCCTAGAGGCGGCGGAAGATAGCCACGCCGCGGCCGGCCTGAGCCACTTGAGGAACCGGCCCAAGATCGTTCCGCAAATGTTCGCCGTCAGCTGCATGCACCGCCAGGTACGGCCAGAAAAATGACTCAGGATACACGGGTTGTTAGTGCTTGCCGCGGACACCAACACACCATGTTGCGTAAGCGAAAAGAAGCGCAAGCGGGGGGCATATTTTGTTGGCGTCCCGCCGCTGTAGAGGTTAGGGTCAGGTGCAAACGGCAACGTTTTGAGGCGAGGCCATCTCATCTAAAGACAGCAATAACCTCGACAGTTTTTTGCAGAAAGCAGACGATTTTTCAGGGTACGTTTTTTTTTCTGTGTGTTTTAACCCTTTTTTGGGTAGTAGTTGGCCTGTGACGACGGAAGGCGCCCGCGTCAGTTGGACTATTATAGTATACGGACGCTAAACAAGGCCCTGAGCGGAGACTGGAATAGTGCCTGAATGTTTTTTTTTTATTTTGTCTTCACTTCAAATCAGCGCTCACAGCACTAGTGCTGTTTACTCCAATCCGTGGTCACACAGAAGAGCCCCTCTCTACCCTTCCCTCCTGCGGTACTTTGCCTTCAATTTTTAATGCGAGAAGAGTTCAGCACTCTCTTCCCTCTGTGTACACACGAACTAGTGCTATCCACTAGGCCAGGAGCGGAAGCGAGAGAAAAACTCACTTTGCAAGAAAAGCTCGCTTACGCCTGAATTCGAACCCCTGGCCTGACCACTAGAAGGTTTCGAGGATACCAACTAGACCACCGGGACGACCGGGTTATGTGTGAAGACATCAACACACAACACACTGCTTCCTACCTGCGCTGCTGCTAAACATACCATGCTCTCCACTGATTGCTCGTATATAGTAGAGGTTTCTAGGAGTAAGGAAGGTGTGGCTGGGGGGTGACCCGCGGGGAACTACAGCGGGTCGGAGAAAATCTGTGGACGAAACAATCGAGGTGGCCCTGTGACCTGACCCGCAAAACAACGGGTCATTCCGTAACCTGACCTGCACACCCGGGTCAGGACCAGACCAAACTCATCGCTGCCCATAACCAAAAAATAATCTTTGAACCCAAACGATTAGGGCGCGTTCCCCTAGGCACGTACATACACCCGCGCATGGGAGGGTCTGAGAGAACATACAAGCATTGTCCTTCGTTTTTTCTTTTTCGATCACCACACAACAATCCGGGCACGGTCTTGTACAACGGTTTTCTAGGGCTGTATCATACGGTGGTTGAGCTTTTTCTTCCCTTTCGTCGCTTCTCTTCCCAACGCCTCCCGAGCCAGGGCTTCAGAGAATTCCGCGAGCAAGTCCTCAACCTCGCCGGGGACGGGAAGCGTTTTCCCCCCTCCCGGCTACCGCCCACTTGGTGGAAAGCCGACCGACTCGTCAAGCAGCGGCGGGAAGAGGGCCACCACATCATCAGCGTCGGGGACCTCGTCGTCGGCCTTAGGGACGGCGTTGGTGGAGAGGTTTCGGCGTCGCCCGCCGGGGACGGTCAGAGCTGGGAAGATTCGCGGAACGCGGTTGTTTCGACGGTGAGGGGGGGGGCTGCGGTTGGTAGTGGATGTGAGGGTGTGTGCTCATTGCCGTGCGCGCCGTAGTCGCTAGAACATAGAGCTCGCATCCCCACAAAGCTGGGACGGAGCACGCCGGGTTCTCACCGGACCAGGCTCTCACACCACCAAGCAGTAGATGCGGGGGGTGGGTCAACTTCATGCGCGTGCTGCAGCCGTTCAACTGGAGAGGAACACATCCATACCCATTGGATGAAATGGTCCCGGACAAATGTATTTTTGTGGTTGCATGCAAGTGCTGCTGTGTATCCATATCCATATCTACGTTTTTGGCTGTGTTAAACCGTGATCTGACGTCCTCCCCTGGGTGTTGTGTGTGTCTTTTTTTCTCTCTCTGATAGCTGGAGTGGCTGAACGACACGTCAGAAGTGGTGTACTTCAACAAGCCGGGCCTGGACGAGTTTGTCATTCTTCACCCGAGACACCTCATGAGCGCCATCAAACAAGTCGTCAGGTGGGGATGCCAATGTTGGGGACAGGGGGTGGAAGTTGAGAAACTTACCACCCGGCAGCTGGTGGCGAGTGAAGAGGTTGTTGGTCGTTGGTTTTCTGGTTTTGGGAGGTTGGCTGGGTGATGTTGTTTTCTCTCACTTTGCGCGGCGAGGTTTCTACGATTTGGTGCCTACAGTTCGTACGTAGCAGCAGAAGGCTTGAGTGAAATTTTAGGGAAAGAAGCCCGGATCGGGACTTTTCATTATGGGAGGAAGGTAGAAGCTGTAAGCGAAGGTTTCAGAAATCGACGACGAAAACGCACCTTACACCAAGAACAGGAAACAAATCCAACGCCTTTCGGGAAACCCTGGCCTTTCGAAGCTATGGTACATGGCATGAGAGAAATATGCGCTGCCCTTTCGAGATTGGGTCGTTCTTTGTTGGTGGACAGAACCTTGAATTCTGGTTGTGAAGCGCTCTCCTTGTTGGCGGCGAAGTCTGCTTCTGACCACGGTCTGCTGACACTCACTACATGCGCACCTTGTCCGTCTCCGTCGAACTCGTCCCCTCCCCTGCTGCCGTCCCCTCGTCACCGGACTACTGCTGTACCTACGGTGCAACAATCAATCGATGGGACCAATCCGCAATGCGATGTACATCTATCTATACATGGAACTGTAGGCGGGACCTGAAAGAGGAGCTCAGTGCCCTGGTCCGCCGCCACCAGGAGAAGCAGCAGCACCAGCGACGGCAGCAGCTGTTGGATGCGCCGACGACGCCGATGCCTCTCCCGCAGACCTCGCCCCCGTGCCCGTCGGACTACCCTCCGCTCGCGCCGTCCTCGACTCCCTTAACCAGAAACGCCAGCGGACAGGGTCAACGAGCCGCGGCGCCGGGGGCTCCGCGGTCGCAAGAATCCAAGGGGGAGCCCTCGTCCCTCGAGGCCGCCCCTGCGGCGGCAGCGGCGGCAGCAGCGGCGGCGACTTCAGCGGCCGCGCTGGCCGCGTCTAAGAACGCCAGGAAAACGGCTAAGAGAAACGCCTCTTCCCCTAAGCCGGGTGGCGAGTCAGCGGGACGATCCCGCCGAAGCTCGCCGCGAACCAGCAACACAAGCGGTAGAGGCAGCGGGCGCGGGGGCGGCGCGTCCCAGCAGATCGCTGGAGCGTGGGGTCGTGGCGCTGGGCGAGGAGGAAACGGCCCCGTGGTCGGGAGTTCCCCCGCACCCACCGCCACCGCCGGCCCCAACGGCGGTGACGGAGGTAGTTGGGCCGCGGCGGTGGGGTACATGTCGGCGGCCCCGGCTCCGGCGAGGCAGGCAGGGGACGTTTCAAACCCGTCCCCTGTTACGGCGACGCCGCCGCCTGCTGCTGCTGCTGCCTCCAGCGCGAAAGACAACGACGGCAAGAGGCCGTCCTACCTGGAAACGCTCTCCAGGGGCGCCGCGGTCGACTCCGGCGGTGGCGCCAGCAGCAGCACCGCGAGAAGAACGTCATCGGGGGGCAGCACCCCGGCACCGGTGCCCGAAGCGGTCCTGACCTACCGGGACGAGCAGCGGCTCGACGACGGTTTCGTGAGCAGGGCGGCCGTTGACGCTCTGCTGGAGCCGCTCGCAGAGTTCAACTGCAACAGGCTGGGGCGGGAGTTTCTCATCAGGCTCTTTCAGGTAGGGGGGGCTTGCACGCGTTTCGCGCAAAGGCGTTGCCGTGCGCTGCGGTCGGTGGCAGTAGCTTCTCCGTGTACACGTCTATTGTGTTGTCTGTAAATAGCTTGGTGGGTTCCTGGCTTCACTTGTGTGTGTGTGTGTTTGTGTTTTCTAGAGGGGCACCGCCCAAAATTTCGACACAAACATTACCAACGACAACTGAGGTGTTTTTCTATGAGGATGGCCACGCAACGACTGTCTGTGACGACTTGGCGGCCGCTGTGAGAGCCTATCCATCCATTTTCATGCGAGGGAAAGGCAAATATGTCGCGAAACGTGATGTTCCCCGCCCCGACCGCGAAAAGCGTGAGGACCGTACGCACGTCGATACCGCCCTAGCGTTGACAATGCCTCCAGTCGGCATTGAAACAGCGACGCCCCCGCTCGGAAGAGAGACGTGTGATCAAGGGTCGATTCGCCGAAGCAAGAACACAATGGGCACGGTAGATAAACGCCCCCCGAAATGAGTACCCTCCGTTTGTTTCATCCTTGTGAAATGTAGCCTGGGCCTGCGAAAACCCGGCATATCGCTCCGTCCCGGCATTGCAGGGATGCGAGGTCAGTGGTCTAACGACTACGGCATGCGTTTACATTAGCACACCCGCCCTCCCCCGTTGTCAACACGCAAACAGGAGTCGTGCGTGCTCGTCAAGGCCACCGACGGGCCCCCCTCGAGGCCCGAGACGGGGAAAGGCGCGGCGAAGGTCAAGGGGCAACCGCGGGGCGTCGTGCGGTCGCAGTCCATGGAACCGACAGGGTCGAAGAAGAGCGCGTCGGCTGCCGCGAGCAGGGAGCAGGAGGTGGAGTACTTCATCCCCTGCCTGCTGCCGGTGAGAGAAAGAGTAACTAGGTGTGACATGTCGGTTGGCTTTGGTAGTTGTGCGTCGAGGAAAATGGAGGTGTTGTGCACGTTGCTTGGCGGGGTTTTGCCAGATCCCGCGTTGGGCCGCATGAGAAGAAGTACCGCCTAATGAACAGCTCGTAAGGCCTCATGGAAAAAACTTGCCTTGCATTTCGTTTGGCATTGGCACCCTCTTTGTAGTGAAGCAACCTATGCATATTACATACTTCTATATATATATATATATATATTTTTTTTTTTTACGGGCCCCAAGGGGGGGTCTGATATACACCGTGGAGCACGTTACTATACGCATGTACATGCATCCTGCTCCTCTCGGGAAAAAAAAATCATAACGAGGTTGGGCATGCTGCACAAGGGCCTGACGCGTGGGACTGAGGCGCTAGCATGTGATATTTAGAGGTGCGCCCCGTACGGAAAAATTGGAGTACCCTATTTCATTCCTACAACCCCCAAGGTATACCCCGTGTTATCCTTTCCCATTTTTTTATTCCTGACCAAACACGTACTAAATACCCTGTTTCTTGTTTTGTTTGTTTTCAGACCAGGCGGATCAATTGAACCGCAAATGTTGGCGCCACGTTTGCTGACCTGTTCCTTTTTTTTCTTTTCCTTCAGACCCGGCCGCACCATCCGTACTAAACATATTTCCTGTTTTATCTTTTTTATGTCCTTTCAGACCCGACCAATCGAGTGGACCGCCTCCTGGGTGGCCAACGTTCACTGCGGGAGGCGATGGCGCTTCCAACGGTTCGTGCCCCCTTCCCTCATGAGCGCGCTCATCTCGAGGTTCTACGGCATGGGCAAGAGGGGCTCTGCCAGCCTTTCCAGGCGGAGCATCTACATCAAGGTTCCCATCGGGGGGAACAGTGGCGGCAACAGCGGCACAACCAGGAGGTGAGGGTGATTTACTTGGCACGGTCAGGTGGTAAAGCATGTCTAGCAAAAGGCAACAAGTGAGGCGAGTATGAAATATTTCAAGGTTGTCTGGCGGTACATGTAAGCAAGCATATCGAGGAAAAGACAACAAATGAGGCGAGTGCGAATTATTATTTCAAATCATCAGGTGGTAAGCTTGTACCGAATAACCAACGAACGAGAGTTTGTTGTGCCCGAAGGTGCTTGGTTTGTTGCCACACCGCCACGATATTGAGTACCACGTTGGTCGGCTTTGAATTGTCGAGGGTGATGCCGTTACGATTGTGTTTTTTCGTCTAGTAGTCAAGTACGTTTCGATGGGGGAGGGTGTAGTTCTTCTGCGGAACCCCCCTGTCTGCATTTTGCGTCTTACATTCGGCGGAGCCTTTGTAACGGGCCTGGCTCCACTTCACCACCGCTTTTGCTGTGTGAAACTGCTGCCTTTTGGAGTTTGTTTTTAGAGGCAAGGGGATGTGGAGGTTTTCCTAAACGTTCACCGATTCACGACCGCTACAGTATGGCTGTGTCAAATTGCTCTGCCATTTTTGGGGTGTTTTGTTTTGTTTTGTTTAGGCGAGGGGATACGAAAGTTTTCCTAAACGTTCACCGATTCACGACCGCTATTGATGTGTTAAACTATTTGCATTTTTTTCATGGAGGGGATGCGGAGGTTTTCCTACAGCTTACCGGATTCACGACCGCTATGGCTGCGCCCTGCCTTCTTTCTTGTTTTTCAAGGCGAGGAGAGGCGGAGGTTTTCCTAAAGCTTCACCGAGGCGGCCAGCACAACGCCTCTCTCTCCATGCAAAGCCCACGCCTGGAGCTGCTGGCGCAGGCCGAGTCGCATCGGCGTGAGGAGCTGATGCGACGCCTGGAGGGATTGGTGAAGGTGCGAGATCACGTGGGTTCCGGTAACGCACCGATTTTGATGAACAACGTCGGAGTTAGCCCGTGCTTCGTGTTGAGTGAGTCGTCCGCGTGGTAAACCGCGTTATCACCACAAAAAGCGCGGTATCCCCCGTCAACACCGAACCATCTCTTTCATCTAGCAACCCATTTCACCCCATATATCCGTTTCATTCCTGCTACCCTGCCTTAATCTCCCATGGTTGCTGCAGGAGGTGGACAGGACTCTCGGCGAGTTTCCCGGACTGCTCTTTGAACGAAGGGTACCCTGCCCCGCGTGCATGGAAAAGAAGCCCGGGGACCCCGCGGCTTGGGGAGGACTCCCTCTCGAGGTATGTAGCTGGCGGAACGATAGCCTCTTTTCAGATGATTCTGCGGTGCGCCCCGATAAGTCGCTTTTTGTCAAAATTTCTCTGCCCGACCGCTAGAATCCGAAGAGCTCGTAAGTTGCGTTGCGTTTGTTCCAAGACAAGCAGGGAATCTAGGTTAAATGTTAAATGTGAATCATTTGTTCTGCAGGTTTTTTTTTGGACTCTTGTTGGTTACAAGTAGATTCTGCTGTTTCTGTTGCTATCCTATTTAGCGAGTGTTTCTGATTGTCGTGTCCCCTCATGTGTTTGATTGTTTCTTGTCCTGTTCTTCCGAGCAGATGGTGGAAGATAAAAGGTCGTGCCCGGGAGACCTGCCCATGTGCAAGTACAAGTGCCGATTACAAGACCTTCAGAAGCGGCTCATGTTCGTGGGGGAGTTGCACCCGGAAGGCGACGAGGCCGACGGTACGAACTAATAACTAAAAAATAAAACGCCGTCATTTGCTGTTGGTCCGATGGAAAGGAGTAGTAGCTACGGGGATGGATTTCTGGAACGTGGGTGTTGTTCTTTCTACAGCACGCGTCACGTCGTTGCTGTAGAACCTCTTGTCTTGCCCCGAGGCTGGCTCATTTCTTCTTTCGCGGGGAAAACCACGGGGACTACTGGTGTTGGGCGGTGCTTCCCGTCGCATGTTTCGGGTGTTCGCGTAAGGCAAAGTTTCGAGTCCTTAGGAGTGTAGGGCAGATTTTCGAGTTGTTATGTTTCGAGAAGTTCTCGGGGCAGCGACGGATCTGTGACGATGTCCCGAAGCATCGATTTTCGAAACACCAACGAACGACGACAGTCGAGTAACGCTAACACCGCACTGTCACAGCTTCCCGTCAAGCGGCCTAACGTCATTTTGAGATGTCCCGCGTTCGTAGATCTGTGCTGGGAAAATCGACGAAACCCTTCCAACGCCACCTTCGTTTTGCGGCGTGTAAACCTACGCGCCGAATCGGCAGGCTCTATTCGAAACGGAACCCTCAGCCACCACCACCACCGCCGCCACGGTAGCGTGTGGGTCTCCCCCCTGCCGGAGCTGGGAGTTCCCGGCGTGTTCGATGGGCTCGGGGCGGGGATAGGGGAAAGGGACGGCGGGCCTTACCGAGGATTCGGGGTCCCCAGAGTGGAGTCTCTGTACCCCGCGGTGTGCCCGATCGCGATCTACGACTGCGTGACTCAGCGGTGAGCAAAGCAAACGAAGCAAGTTTCGATGATGGCGTGGGCGAGGAGGTCGGAGGTGCCCGTGTAGCTTTGGCGCGGGGGGACAAACGGAATGCCTGTCTGACTCTCCGAACAAAACAGGGCAATGCGTGTTTCGACCATTGTAATGGACGAGAGAAGGAATGGTTGTTGGGGCTGTGATCGCGCCTAAAGCGCGATGTGTCTCTTTGTTAGGCGATAGTTCTCGTGGGTACTGTCTGTTGTCTGCTTTGTTGACAACAACAGTCGTATGTAAAAGACGCTGAACACCATGAAGTGCAAGCGGACGCACAGGTGTGCGATCGATCGATTTTTCAAAGATCGATTGCTCCACAGCCAAAAGAGTGTGCGAAGCCCGACCGGCGCGTGCAAGGAAATATAGCTCTCGACGAGATGTTTCCAAAATCCACCCTATTCGGCGTTATTGGCAAGCCTCTTGGTTTGTGGAGAAATCGAGCTTTTGACATGCGATGACACACCTGTACGTTCCCCCGCGCACACCTATCCTTTGGGTGGTCTAAATCGACTCGTGGTGGACACCTAAAGCGGCTACCCACCTACCCCGCTCACCGAGCCGCTTACCTCGCTCACCCGTTGGTATAAACGCCTTCGTGTCGTGTGTTACTGGGTTTTGCCCCCTCCCTCCACGGCGCTTCGCGCTTGGTGATGTGAGAGCCTGGTCCGGTGAGAACCCAGCGTGCTCCGTCCGGGCTTTGTGGAGGTGCGAGGTCAATGGTCTTACGACTACGGTATACATGACTACACCCCCCCCCCCGCCCCCCCCACCCTTTGGCGTACGCACACACAGAATGAGGGCTCACGCTACCGCCTTCATCGTCAAGTCCGAGAAGGGATACCTCCTTTCCGCCGCCCACACGTTCCTCAAGTTCAAGTTCGAAGAGAACGATGTTGGTGTCGAGGATGGCGATGAAGGGAGGAACGCTCCTCGTCGAGGGAGGTGGTGCTACCACAATGGGGTCACCCACGAGAACTGCATTGTGCTGGTGAGTTTTCCGCCAGGCTTGCCGGGCATGGCTGGAAGTTGTTGTTGTTGGTGGTGGAGGTGGTGGTGATGGTTCTCTGTTGTTGTGGTCGTGAAGGTGGAGGTGGTGGTGGTGGTGCTTGTCTTGTTGGTAGTGGCGATGGTTCTCTGTTATTGTGGTGGTGGGGGTAGTTGTTGTTCTTCTTGTGGTTGTTGGTTGTTGCAGTTGCTGTTGCTGTTGTTCGTTGTTGCATTAATCGAGACGAGGATGACCTTTTCTTTTTGTTCGGAAGTGCATGCGTTCCTCCTTCCTTGCTATGCTTCAGCATACCGTCGTCGACTTCAACGTGTACCGTAGATACCACAAGCGGGATGGAAGGAAAAACAGCACACATCTCATACCGGTAGGCATACCGTGTCAGGAGTGAAATCGTGCCGTGGAACGCTCCGTATCACCCGCGGATGTTCCCCGAAACGGCGGGGTCATGTTCATAAAATGACTACGTTTTTGAAAGCAACCCCGTTTCGGCGGAGTGACGGAAAAGGGAATCGCCGCTCCCTAAAGCAGACATCTAGATACGACTTCTCGAACACCAAACCCATCTTCTAGTTTACAACAGTAACCCCATGTACAAGTTTTTTTTCGTGTGTTTTTGTTCCCAATACGTATCGTGGCACTATGTATGTCAGTGAATGGGCGTGCCACTGAAACTGAAATCGATTCCGCTCGTGTCAATCGGTTAACTCATACGCAAAATTGGAAATTTAGAAATATACACCACTAAATATGCAACAAGGTTCGGGCGCTCACACGGGTGTTGTTGTTGTTGTTGTTGTTGTTGTTGTCTTCACATTAAAAACCGTTCCGATCTCTCTCTACCCAGTAACTTCGTATGTCCGTACTGATCCAACACTCGACGCGGTCGATTCCCGTGGTCACAGGTTAACTTACCCTAAAAAGGTACACTTCAAATAAACTTGGCCCCGAGGGGTCCGCAAGTCAATAGAAATCAACGACAGATATTCTGGGATCCTCCGCTCCCTCTTCACGCTATGCGGGGTATCAACTGAGATTAGGTGTGCAACCCATCGGTTTTGCAAGGTTGATTGCTCCAAAACGAAGGAATTACCAACGCCGAAAGGAGTGGTTTTGGAAAGATCTATCTCGTCGAGAGCCTTCTTTTCACGTGGCGTTCAGTTTTCGCAACACCCCTCTTGGTGGCGGGGCAATCGATCTTCAATAATCCATCGCATACTTGTGCGTTCGCCCTTACCCTTGTTGTTTGATTCTTCAGAATGGGTCGATTGCGGTGTAACCGGTTGACCAATGAACAGGCGGCAGCAGTTTCGACCGAGGAACAAGCGAGAACGCTTTGTAGTCCGTGGGATCCCCCCGACAGGCGTAGTTTTTTTTTTTTCACAACAATTTGTCTGTTTTTTCTCTCCGTTCGGAATGCCTATGTAAGGTGGACCCACCTTTACTCACCCCCTTTGATTGTGATTGTTGTTGTGCTTCGTCAGGTGGGGACGTTCCAATCGCCGAGCACGACGCAGTGGGAGGTGAGAGTCGGGGTCATTTGCAGTAGCCAGTCAGATGTCTTTTTGTCACCAAGCGATCATGGGTGCATCTGCACCTTGAATCGGCGAACCAGAACACGTTTTGCAACCTATACGAGGGCAAAGCCTGCCGGCAACATGGAATGGGCTCCCTGCCGGCGTTGAGTCGTGATACTCGTTACGGAACGACAATTCGTCGCTGAACCTTCAATCGGCCAATCAGAACACGTTTTGCGACCTATTCGGGGGCAAAACCTGCCGACAGCGTGGAATGGGCTTCCTGCCGGCGTTAAGTCGTGATACACGTTACGAAACGACAGTTAGGCGCTGCACCTTGAATCGGCCAATCAGAACACGGTTTTGCAACCTGTGCGGGGGCAAAGCTAGCCGACAATGATATGGAATGAGCTCCCTGCTGGGGAATGTGACAACTCATCCGGGTGTGGCCGTGCAGCTCGTCGTGCCGGTCACACGGAAGAACGTCTGTGCATGCCCGAAACAACGTCACGTCCCAAGATGATCCAAAACTGCACGAATGACCGGTCTGCTAGCCGTTACTCTTTTCATTCCCAAGGGGGCCCAGGTAGCACGGCATTCTGGTGAGCTCTTCCTAAAGCAAGGTATCCGTTGTTCGTTAGTTTCCTCCGAGACCCTTCCTGTCTAGTGCGCCGTTTCGCTTGAAACCGTCGGAAAATAGCACCAAACTGCTGTTGATTTCCGTGCCTCGTGTTTTTGTGTTTTGCAGTTCGTTGCGGAGGTCTTGCAGCACTCCGAGCTGGTTCGGTCGAAGCTCTACTACGACATCGGCTGGAACAAGGACCACCCCGTACTGCTCAGGATCAAGCTCCGGTTCAGCCCGATCCCTACCAAGGTGCGTGAACTATTTTGTTGTGTCACGATATGGTTCGACGTTGCGGTACGTGTCTCGTTCTCTGGACGACGACTTAGGTAGGTACACCGACAGCGAGCGCTGCCGAGCAAAATGGTTCGATACTGAGCACATGTCTCGTTCTCTGGACAACGGTTTAGATACATCGACAGCGAGTACTAAAGCGTAAAAAACATCCAACAGCTGTGAAACTTGTAGGTGTTCTTTCCGCACAAGCTACCGCATTTGTTTAATAACCTTTGTGTGGAAGATGTCTGGTGAGAGGTCTCTAGAGAAGAGACGTACGTCGCTTGTCGTCAGGTTGTCTCTCCCGCCATGTTGCACAGCGGTCGAAGTTAGCAACCCCCACTGAACGCACTACACTATCTAGCCTCTTCTGTAGAAGAAGCCGCGCCGTGGTGTTGATGCAGGGCACAACACCCTGCGTAAGAACGCCTGATTCATCTGTTGGAAAACGTGTCCCGTCTCTATGATTGCCTTGAACTCAGCCCCGCCAGAAGTTCTTGGTTAATTTGAGGACCCAGCTACCCAAGGATGTTTGCAGGATATTTCTTGTCTGGGTGCCCTATCCTGCTGCATGGGATTCGTCCGGGTTAATAGAACTCAATCAACGCTGAAGCAGCAGAGTTTGAGAGGGAGGAGTGATTTTCACCTTTGGAAATAGCGAAAATTTCTCCTTCCGGCTCGGCGCTGACGGGTCGCGGCAGCACAGATGTCGCTGAGAAAGAAGTTAACCACATATTCGCAAATGATTTTTTAGACGGTATGCGGTGCGTTATTTTTTTTGTTTCTCCTGTTTCGTTATCGCTGTCATGATTTTATCTTCAGGTGGTGGATCATCTCGTGTTCAAGGAAGTGACCAGAGACTGGAGGGCGCGAGCGCCGGGCGGGGATGTCGTGAATAGCACGCAGGACCAGCGATTGCGGCACCATTCGTCGGGCTTGACTGCACTCAAGCTCGGAGATTCGAGGCAAGTGGCTTGTGGTTGTTGCTGTTGTTGTTGTTGTTGTTGATGGTGCCAACCCCCAACAGAGCGGCTCAGAGGGGAGAAGGTCGTGGAGAGGCAATTAACATATTAACTTCCAAAATGAGCTTTCAGTGGACGCATGGGTTGGTCCCGGCACCCCCCCCCCCCCCCCCCCCCAAGCACCG